ATTATACAATCGGCGTTATAACGTCGACGTTATAACGTCGATTGTAAAAAAAAAAAATTGCCGAAGCCGATAGCTACCCATGGCTCGACCTGCCGGAGCCAAAGCCAAATTTTTGGTACATTCTCAATATATAATGCCTATATAAGTTTTATACTAAATCAAAATGAATAAACCAAAAGATTTATTCATTTTGATTTTTTCATAGGTTGATGATTTGTAAAACCTGATTACATCGAAAGTTCTTTTTATCTAATCAGTGACTGATAAAATAATTTACAGGGGGAGAAGAGTAGAATCTTAACAAGCTTAGTTTGATCTAGGAGGTATTAATCGATGGACGTTTAACGTATTGTTTAAAAGCCAAGATATCCACGCTATTCATTGTTACAAATAACAAAAGCAAAACAATAGAGAACTATTTTTAACTTGAGAATATTTTTACTTGATTTTGCGTCAAAATAATGATAGTCTCGCCTAACCTAAGAAATATTTAAACATTCCATAACACCAAAGGTTTTATTTATTTAAAAAGTTTTTATATAAATAAAACCTTTTTATTTTATGATCTATAAACTCAAGCGAAATCTTTACACGAAAAAAAAGTTAATCACAGAAAGCTTGCAAAGGTTTTTGTTTACTCGCAGCGCCTCAGATGTATAACAATGCGTTAAACGTTCATTTATTAATATGTCCTTGGGTTAATGGAGAAATTTTTTGAAAAGTTATTAATTTCCCCTCTTGTATTAAGCACATGAGAGTACAATAAACTGCGGATCAAATGTTCAATCATTTTGATAAATTATAAATATCCTATTATTTAAGATATGTACCAAAAAGTTTGCACTTCCTTCCACAAAAATCTTCCATGAATACTTTAATTCTGGAATGGTATCCACTCTTTGGAAATTTGAAAATATTAGTTTAATTTATAAAAAAATGGGAGATCAATTACTTGCAGAAAACTGCTGACTTATTTTACTAAATTCTTTTGCGTTCAAAATTTTTGTAAAACTTGTAAAGAGCATCAGCAATAGTAAAATGTTCTCTACAAGTCAACATGAATTTCTTCATCATAAACCATGCCTACCTAATCTAATAGAGACTTTGGGTATTATTTTGAATCCCGTTTTAAAATGCCAAGTTGTTCAATACGATCAAACCAACCCTTTCAGAGTTACATTTTACTAACAACATTTAAGTTTTAAAAAACAATCAAGTTATAAATCATTGCTAAAGCTCTATTAAAAAAATAAAGTGTTTATAAGACCATATCTTAATTATGCAGCGTCGGTTTAAGCTCCTTTTTTAAAAACTGGTATAACTGATTCTTTGGTTGAATCAGTTTGACGCAAAGCGACAAAATGGGTTTCAAACTTCAACAGCTCTAAAAAAAAAAGACTAAAAAGATTAAATATACCAACACTTAAACTTTAGTATCTACGATGTAATTTAATCCAAATCAACATTTTAATTGTTTATTGTATACATCTACCAAAATTTATTTACTCCTTGATTTTTAGTTGCGATTTTGTAATAAAGCGTGAGCATATTCTAAACTGCCTTTAAAGACACATTCAGTAATTTAATAGATCACCTAAATTCTGGAACGAACAGTCTGAGCAGGTAACTTTCTATTCAACTGTACATGCTTTTAAAAGTTCTGGTTGTAGAAAAATTTGAATTAAATATTTATAAAACTGGTTGTTTTTAAAATGGAGTGCTTTTTCTGCACGTTGTATTTATTCATCATATTTATGTTTTATGACTACAATAATAATAATAGTCATAACAACATTAATGGCAATAATAACAATGATAATAACAATAACAGTAATAATAATAACAATAATAATAATACAACAAAGATGTTAAATTTTTTCACAGAATTAAAAAATAGTTTTCTTTATATAGAGACTTTCATAAATTTTATTTGATCTTTGATTATATACTTTGACAACATCTGACAGACTATTTACAAAATCAACATCTGATATATTGTTTACCCATTTGGTATCTGACAACATCAACATCTGATATACTATTCACACATTGGGTATAGGTTTCGTTAGCCTCAAGATTTTAGAATTTCGATTTTTTAATTCTACTAACTGGTTCTCAAAGGACTTTTCAAAACATTTAAAAGTAAAGACAACACTATTTTAACAAAAACCATACAATTAGTATTATTATTCGATTTCTTTTCGATAATTTAATATTTTTTAATATCAAATTTTATCAATCTACCTAATAGCATTAGTTTTATTATAAATATTGAAATATAAATTAGTATTTTAACTGATTTTAAAAAATCAAAAAAAACTTAAAGCAAAAACAAAAGAATATAAATTAGTAACAAAGAAATATTATAACGAGTTTACTACATTTAAACTTAATTATTTTAATTATATATATTTAAAATCCAATATATCAAATTCCATATTTAGTAATGCCGTTTTAATTTTGCCTTGAAACTTTCCATAGTGCAATTTAAAACCAGCATTTCACTAAAAACATGAAGAAAAAAATTCTAAACAAAAAGACTACGATATTGATTTAACTTAAGATTGGTCAAAGAAACGACAAGGTTATTCTCCAAAAAATTAGCCAGATATTTATGAGAACCTTTATTAAAGTAAAATCTAAATGTTACTGGAGATAACCCACGTTTTACTTAATACATAAATAGTATAACTTGTGAATATTAAGTTTATAAATAATTAAAACTCAAAACTCACTTAAGAGAGGTTTGCAATATGCGTCTTATATTTTATCCTGCTAGGATGTTTTTGTTTTCTATAAACTGTTTTTAGTTTCGTGCATGGCCTACTTAAATTAGCTATCTGAAAGCCTATTTCAGTATTCTATGTAATTGGAATAAACTGAAGCAGGCAATCAGTTAATAAAAAATCTAGCGCAAAATAATGTAAGTACTCAAATAAAATCTAACTATGATTAAACCATTTTAATAAAATAAGAATAAACCAATTATAGTGCAAACAAGACTCATAACCATAGCGAAAATTAAGTTTTTATTCTTGAGCCGTAAAAAAACTGGCCTCTTAATTTTTTACGGAAAATGCAACAAATCAGGCCGTGTAATTTAAGTAGGCCGTGTTTCGTGATATTAGCACTACCCCAGGCAATGGCACAGTAATATAGCTGTATATAAAATAACTTTTTAAGGATGTTTCATTAAGAAAAGATTTCGTTACTTATAACATGAAAATATTTAATGAGATCTTACTTTCAATATATTTAAGTACTTATTTCTAGGACAGTTTTTTTTTTCTAAAACCTCACCGAAGAAGTTTGTGGTCAATTCTCAATAAATTATTAAGTTATTGATTAAAAGATTAGGTGATTTAAAAGGAATATAATTAGCCTTATTAGGTTTATGGAATAGAATAAATTTAGTTTTCTCTAATTTTTTGATGCTAAAAAATCGTTTATATAAAGTAGAAGTAATAATGGTCCTAAATAGAACTTTCGGGTACCCCACAAGTTACTAACTTTTTTTAACCTTTGATTTCTTTGAGTATAAATTACTTGCGGTTACTTAAATATAATTTAAAGCAAAGTAAACTTTGGTTTTAAATACCATAGTGTTCAATTTTTTTTTTTTAAATCTCGTAATTTACTGAAAGCTTTTGATAAATCAATAAAAAACCTCTATTGTATAGCAATCACTATTAAATCCATTTGATATATGATTATTCAATTCTACTCTTGCATGGTTAGTAGAATAATTTTGTTAATAATCATATTGGTTACAGTATAACATTTTGTTTTTACGTAATTATACAGTATAATTTTGTTTTTATAAAGTCTGTTATACATCATACGTTCAGTTCAATTTTAAAAAGCAGCAAAGTTTAAAAAAGGTATATAATTTGAAATATTACTTTCATCACAAGATTTGAAAATAGGTGTTATTTTTGCACTTTTCAACTTACTTTCCTTCTGTAGGTTAGTTTATATTTCTTTTGTAGGTTAATTTGTTTTCATTTTTTAGGTTCATATATCTTTGTTTTGATGGAAGATAAATGAGCCTACTATTAAACTTCATAATGAACATACAATTGTATAAACTATAGAACAACAATTTGTTGAAACTATTTCAAACCAAAATTTGTTTTAGTATAGCACAATCATATTGTTAAGATAAAATAAAATCCTATACTGAAACTTTGATTAAAGGGATCCCAAAATGCTGAGACGAGTTGTTTTCATATCTTAAGTAAACTTAAGAAAGTAAGTTAAGAGTTAATTAAACTTACTAAAACAAACTATTTATTGAGATATTAGGTCGGATAAATAAAAACGCAAGTGCTTATACTCAGCGTTTTCGTAGTAATTGCTCAGCTTTACGTGAATAAAAATTTGAGCAAAACTGCTCAAAGTTTTTGTCTCGTAAAGCTGAGCAATTAATCCGAAAATGCTGAGTAAAAGCAACTGCTTTTTTTATTTATCCTGTTTATTAACAAAAAAAAACTTTTTTTTTAATCTCGCGATATTATTACCATTTCTAAGCCTCATATTTAGCTTTTGTTTTGATTTATACTTAATATATTAAAAGTAAGAAAACAAAACATTAAAACTTAAGCAACTTTTCTTACTTTTATTGACGTTAAAACACTTTAATTATACCTTATTTTGTAAAAAAAAAAACCGTCAAGCAGGAATTTTCCTTAGCGAAAAACAACATGGCGTTAATAATAATTTTTTTTTTTTTTTTTGTTAATATTGCAGTAAATAATTTGTTTAGGTAAGTTTAATTAACTCTAAACTTATTTTCTAAGAGTTGTTTAAAAGAGAATAAAAAATTGGGGTGCGTGGAGCATTTGGTATGATAAATTATATATACTAAAATAATATTTATAGCCAAGAAAAATAATAAAAAAATTGGTCACTTATATAAAAAAGTAGAGTTTATATCTTATATTTTCTAGCACATTATCAATAAAAATGACATTCACAAAATATCACATCAAAAATATTACCCCAAGCAAACGCAGAAGACTTTGCCATAAAGATTCGAGAACTGTATGTGCCACGAAACACTATTACAAATTTTCGATACAAATTTATGCCTTCAATTGACATCCACAAAAATGTTGACAAAATAAAAAACTGCAATAAAGAAGCAACAGTTTTACATAAAATTCGAGGTTTGGTTTTTTCAGCTAATGAAACAAATAAAATTAACACAATGATCAAACTAGCGCACATGTTAAGGAGTATTTTCGGAGCCAGATTGACACGTAGTTTCCTAAAATAAAGTGCAATTTTATTATAAGTTACGTATATCTTTATTTGTAACTAATATATTAAAAATTTATTTATTACTTTTGAAATAGGCGCAAATGCACTTTATCTACTTATTTACATAAAGTTTCTTACGGAAATAAAGTATAGGTAACGATTGTCAAAAATAGTCCAGTGATTGATATTAAACATCCGATCCATGTAATAATATTAAGGCCTAAAGAGTTGTTTTCTGATTGATTTACATTTAGTATTAGTGCAAATATTGTAAGATGGTTGCATTGGCAAAAATATTCTAATGTAGAATTGAAAGTAGTAGTACATCCATCTGACAACCATATTTTTTCTATATTTAAAATGTTAAAAATATTCTTATAAAAATTTAAATTTGTATGTATGTATGTATGTATGTATGTATGTATGTATGTATGTATGTATGTATGTATGTATGTATGTATGTATGTATGTATGTATGTATGTATGTATGTATGTATGTATGTATGTATGTATGTATGTATGTATGTATGTATGTATGTATGTATGTATGTATGTATGTATGTATGTATGTATGTATGTATGTATGTATGTATGTATGTATGTATGTATGTATGTATGTATGTATGTATGTGTGTATAAACTACAAAAAAAGAATTCAACCTTTAATGTCATAATATTGGCAAGATCTTTTCCCAAAAGCACTACTGTTTTGCATAAACATAATTGATATAGGATTGTATGCGTTTCTAACTTTGATACCATTTATAGTTGCAGACAAAATAATACTGTCTATAATATCTTCTGTGTTCGAGAACAATGTTTTTTTTGAAAATGCATAAGAATATATTTGGGTTTCAATTTGACCATGAAACAACTGCGATGGTAATACAATGTATGCATTGAATTTTTTATTATCTTCTCTAAGACTATTAGCTAATATATTGACACTTACATTGTTTTCATTTAGCTCTGAATAAATATATATTGAACTTTGATTTCCTCTTATAGAGTAAAACGCCATTGCTAATGTGCTCTTTGATATTGTTATATTTTTAGTCTGGTATTTTGCCAATGTATCCAAATGAGATAGAAAAGTTGTAAATAAATCAAGTTTCTTGTTTGCATTTTGAAGCAAAGTTTTATTAGAACATAAGACTACATCTACCGACAACAAAATACCACTTGTTACCTAGAAACAGAAACTTAAACTTATATAATACAAAATAAATTAAAACTTTTTTCTTACAATAAACGTTATTGTAAATCCTAAAAGTGAATACACATACATACCACTTCTGAAAATGAATTAACTTTAATGATGTTGCTAATGATTTGCGTAACCAAATTAATCTGATAAATATTTTCAAGTTGAAACGATTGAAGAATTTCATTTAATTTATGTAAAATTTTCTCAACATTTAATGTTGTCACATTAATCTAATAATAAATAAAAGTATAAAACCAAAGAATAAAATAATAATCACAGAAAAAAGTTTATTGTTTCTTACCTTTTATAAAAACCCATCAAACCCATCATTAACTTGAGCATAAGTTATAGTCAATTTTATATAATACTAATAAAAACATAACAAACAAAATAATATTTTATTTACTGAATTAATTAGTTACAGTTTTCAATAAATTAAGTATTGTTTTTTATTAAATAAAGTTTTCACTTAGTTTAATGAAATAAATGCATCATCTACACATACTGCACAAGAATTTTTTATGTGTGGTAAAGGAACTACAAACTAGAATCAGCTACCTCTTTCTTCCATCAACCTTTTCCCTAATCTAATATCTAACCTAATATCTAACCTAATAGCCAATAAAAATATTGAAATATGTATAATCTCGCATGTATCGTCTTGATTGTCTAAATAAATAAAAAGTTCTGTTAATTTCAACTTTTATCAGACTTTCATCCATTCTGCATAGGGTAACCCAAGCAACTCAACACGTTGGGTCAATGTAGAGTACTATTGAGCCAGCAATTCTAAAGTTGTTCTGATATTAGCCCAACATAAAATTATTGTTATTCAAAACACTATCTTAAGTAAATTACTTTTATTTAAACTTCATTCGAACAAAAAATAATAAGAAATATCATATTGTGAAAACAGATCTATAAAGAGTAAATCTTCCTCTATCTGAACATGTAACCGTTTATTTAGATGAAATTTTAGTTCGATAAAATTTTTGTGAGGGTTTTTTTTGTTGCATCATATGTTTGTTTTTGCTTAAAATTCTTTTTTAATTTTATTAATAAACACCAATTCTGCTGAACTGGAAATTTTCTACATCAGTGTCAACAAAATTCTTAAAAAAAGGCTACAACAAAGCTGATATTGGAAATGTTTTAAAACATCACTGAGAGCAAGAAACATTATTAATAAAGTGTGGATTTCGGTACCAAAATAAAATAAAAGTAAAAATGCGAATTGCATTGAAAACGGTTAACAATTTTATCAGCTGTAATCAGTTAAGGAGGTTGTAGATTTAGTCATTGCGATGTTTCTGTAGTTGGGGATTATGGTTTTGACTCTTGCAGGTAAAATTTATGTTGCTCAACATTACATTGAAAAACATAAAACAAGAGTACTTCTTAAACAATGGCAAATTTTTATTGAAATGGTGGTATACGAGAGTAAAAGTAAGCATAATGTAGCATAATAGTAAAAGTAAGCATGAAGTAGCGTTATACAAAGCAGACAACATTGTATTAAAAAGAAAGCAGACAACAAGCAGACAACATTATGTTATGACAACATAAGTTGTTATTTTGTGCGACGGTGGCGCAATGGTTAGAGCGCTCGCTTTAGAAGCAGGAGATCTAGGTTTGAAACGAGCTCTGGACATATTTTCGCGTCGCGGTAAGGAAGGAGGTGTGAACTTCCTGGTTAAATGCACTTCCGCGGTGCTCTGTGACATGACCATTAGGTCTTTTGGGGGCACCTAAATAACAAAAAAAAACAAACAAACAAACAAACAAACAAAAAAACAAACAAACATTTCATTAAAAAGACAACAGACAACAAGCAGGTAATATTAAAAAGAGCTTTGTCTTGCTGGTAACTACATAAAATAATAAGATGAAGCCAACATAATTTACTTAAATGTTTTTTATACCTGAAGCTGCTTCGAGTATTAAATTTGAGGTGGCAAAAATTTTTTTTATCTTATGCCAAAGTGATACAAAGTTCGCTTTAAAAATTTAGAGACCAAAAATGAAAAAAATTAGTTATTCTGCGTCAGATTTCTAAATGTCGTTGTTAAATCAAAAGACTTTTTAATCAACCATGGTGCAAAGATGATTAACTCGTGTATTATAAACAAGATCATTTGGTACGAATAGAGGAAACACAACTAGTTAAATGGTTGTCACAACAGTTGTCGGAAAAAAATATTTTTGTATAAAATGGTCTTAACACTCTTATTAAAAGCTGTTGAAATATGTAAAACTGTGTTATTAAAAACTGTTGTAATATGTAAAAATAAAAACATAAAAAACAATATAAAATCAACTTGCTACAACGTCATTCAATTCGTATTGTGCAATCATTGCATAGTAGAACAGTTTTACACAAAAAGGTGGCCGTAACTATTTCATTCATAACTGGACGGAAGTTATTATTATTTAAAAAAAATACATATATTAAAGTATTTTTCTAAAATTTTATTCAATTTTAACCTGTGGTTTCAGAAAAGTTAAACATTGTAGCACAGACGCCAATAGGATTTTTGTCCAAGGACGGAGTGAAGGCGAAAACAATAAAGTATTATAAATTAGCTATAATTTATTAAAATTTAACTTTATATGAAAAACTAATATATGTTATTTTATATCTTTGGAACACTCAGTATACAGTGGAACTTAAAATCACACAAAACTAATATTTTGGGATTATCTTACATATAATATAAGTTTTAAGTTTGCCTTATTTCATCCGAATTAAAACCAATGTATTTTTGATTTTCGGCCACACTACGTGTGTTATCAAAATTGAAAAAAAAAACAAAAACGAAGCATTTGAAAATCCAGCATTGCAACCAGTAAAGCAGCAAACAGTTCTTATAAAAAAAAAAAACGGGTAAAATTCACGCAGATTTTAATTCACATCTTATCACAAATCGTTGAATTCACGGATAGAATTCAACAATTTTATGCATAAAATGTTCGTGCTATTAATGGTTTTGCTTTCAGATGTGCATTGATTATCAGCAAGACGCTAAATTTATTTTGCTTTAAAAGGTGTATTTTTATTATTTTCAACAAGATCTTTTTTTTTTGGTAATTTGTTTTTTGTAGTGGTTTGGTAATTATCCAATTAAAACATTTTCTTTTCATTACTTTTTTCAATGATTTTAATTATGATCTTACCAGATTTTTATTTATTATTTGCATTTTAGTTGAAAAAAATTAAAACTGGTCAAAAATAACCTTCTGTGAAACTAATTTTATAAAATAAGTAGTATATGAAATGAATAGTGTAGAAAACTAATTTTTTTTTTTTACATAATACTTTAACAAAATTTTTTTACCTTTATGTTTGGGTTTAAAGTCTGCTTTTCAAACTCATTTTGCCGAAAACAAATAGAAAACTTTATTCTAAAAAACATTGCCTTTGTCACTCGGACATTTAAATTTTGAGTGTTTAAGAATAGGTTTTTGTTTCCTAATGACTACTGAATGTTCCTTTAGAACATTCCTGAAATGCTCAAAATGAGTGGAAGGTTCTAATACTGTAAGGTGTAAGATGTAAGTGAGTGCAAGGTCCTAATATTTTCCAGTATATTCTAGCCCTTTCAAAAAACTTTTACAACTTTTAAAAAGCTTTTAAACCTTTTACATTGTTGATCAATGTTTATTTAGAAATTCATTTGTCGATTCCCAAATAATTTAACATTTTACGAATTGCTTGTTTCCACTTTCTCTGCATGAGAAAATCTTCAAGAGAAAACAGTTTGACAAAGAGAAAGATATTGTAAGTGAAAATTACAGTTTTTAAGGTACGATTGAGATAATTAGGCCACTTTTTTTTAACCAGAAAGACATAAACATTTTAATAAGAGACCTATGTCTTACCAAAATAAATACCATGTATTTTGTAGTGAGGCTCAAACAGTGGAGTTTGTTGAATAAAAACGTGCAAATCACATCTCAGAGAAGGCGTCACCAAATATTTTCAACTTCTTCAGTCAGAAAAAAGGCAAAGTTTATGCAACAATATGACTGGTTTTTCAATGCTGTTGGCATCACATGTAAATTTTCTATTCCACTAGCTCATTACAAAAAAGGGCTATGTCAGCGTTAAGATTCTGCTGAAAGCAAATAGTATGATTACTAAAGTATGATTACTGAAAAAAGAAGATCATTGGAGTCTTCAAAATAGTGTTGTTCCTTATACAGTCTTCTGGCAGTTTTACAAAATTTCCTTGTTTCCTTTGTTTTCATACAATTACAAAAAAAATTGCCCCAACGGACCAAGTTCTTTGTGGCAAGGAATAGAAAAGTAGAAACCGCTGTCACTACTACACATAAGTTTGATCAGCCGTAGTGCAGTGGTTAAAATTCTTTCTCAGAACTATAACATTCCAGGTTTGACGCTGGCTCTAGCCTAATAAGCAACATTGATAAGGAAGGAAGCACAAACTTCTTATTTAAATGTTCTCCCGCTCGATAATAAGATCATAAGGACTTTCCGGGAACACCTTAATAACTACAACAAAAACAGCAAAAAAAAAGTATCTACAAGATTGTTTTCCGAATCAATCCTATGCTAAAAATAGAACTGATATTTTCCTAATATACTAGCTTTAACTTTAACTAGAGCTGGCATTATACTTTATTTTAAAAACAGTTCAAATTTAACATTTAAAAGTATGAAACATGAAAATATGAATATAAAATAATAAAAAATCAAACATAAGTTTACAATCTACATTCAGCACAACCAATATTGAGACATTTCAAAGCCATGTTAAGAGCACAAAAGTTTTTTTTTTGTTTGCAAAGAAAAGCAAATCCGTATCATTCAATGGATAGCTTCAATTTCAATTTTGTTAGTGGCTTGATATGCCAACACGCAACTCTTAAAATTAGGAAAAACTATTGTTCTGTTAACTGTTTTTTTCTAATTCCCTGTTACATACTACCTGTAACTGTTTAATTGAGTCAGCCTTTGCAATCATTGTTGTACCGTTAGCAACAAAGACAGTACATAATTTTGTTGCACCAGTTAGGTTAGAAATATAAACTTTGAAAAACTATGGACCAATGCATGTTAATTTACCTATACCCAACTTTACTACTCTTTCTTTTGATGTAGAACTTTCAATAAAAAATGATTGCCTTCTGTTTGTTAAATATGAAGAGATCCATTTTGAAGTTTTTTCACCGGCACCATAAAGGCAAAACCCACTAAAACAATGTTTTTTGGGTAGTAACTCCTTTATTTTTTTAACAAAATAGGATCGTCTTACTATTTAATGCACAACCGTACTGACTACTTCATTTCAACGGGTTGTTTGTTGCGTTAACGTAATAGATTCTCAACTTTAACAAACTATAGTCCGTTAAAGATTAAAACTTATTACGTTTTTTATTCGTTAAGAGGTTTTTTTAAGTCTAATTAAGTTTTTTATTTAGTTATTTTTTTTATTAAGTTAATTTTTTATTAGTTAAAAGGTTTTTATTAAGTTAAGAAGTTTTTACGAAATAAAGTCCGTTGATATTATAATACCAACGGATTTTAATACGTTAAAACGAATTTTTTTTGGTGTATTAACGAGAGATTGTTTATATAAATAAAATAAAATCCTCTAAAATAACATCCGTTATATAAAACGGATTTTTATTTTGGTGTGGTATTTGTGATTTACATTGTTTATTCAAAGTCATTCTTGGTCTGTATTATTTATTTGTTTTAAGTCCACTAAAGCAGTTGTCAAATGTTGTGCTCCATAAGGTTTTGTTTTTAGGTTGTTTTTGTTTTTAACATATATTAATGAATTATCTCACTCCATAACTAATTCCATTGTACATTATTTTGCTCACGATACCAGCACGACAAGTCTTCTCTTTTTTATTTGTCATGTTTTAATATTGTTTTAAAATGTCACATAAGAAATCAATGCATTGCAAATAAAAGATTTAGGTTTTGAAAAGTTCCTAAAACTTTTAAAATAGTTTTTTGTTATTTTTTTATGTTTCGTTTTGACAAATAATTATAAATATTTACATTAGAATTTAATTAATAAATGTCTTGATAAGAATTGATTATGTTTTCGCTAGATTTACAAAAAGGTATTTTGAATCCCTTCATTTTAGACGAATATATTTGCCAGTGAATAAATGCACTCCTATCCAATCGAAAACAACGAATTATTATAGTAAATTCAGAATCCGACTGGTTGAACGTCCTCAGTGGTGTACCTCAGGGTTCATGTATTGGACCATTACTATTCCTGATTTTTATTAATGATATGCTTCGTCTACTCAATCACCATTGCAAACTTTAAGCTGACGACACCAAAATTATTGCGATTATAAAAGAACTTTCTGACCTGCAGCAATTAAAAACCTACATCGATGGAGTAGTTGACTGAGCTGATACTTGGTCAATGAGCTTTAATCAAGAAAAATGCAATTATATGGTTTTTAACAAGCATTGTCGCACACAACAATTAAACAATTAAACTTTTGTTGATGATAAATTTAATGGTCCCTGCTTCCAACTAAAAATAACTGACAAAACTGGCTTTTCTCACTTTCTTAAAGAGACCATCTCTGAACGTGATCTTGGTGTTGATGTTCACAATCGGTTTTCGTGGAATGATCAAGTAGCAAGAGCTATTTTAAATTAATATACTATTCTTGGATTTCGTAGACGCACTTTCAAACATTGGAATCTTGAAATGTTCCGCGTCCTTTACAGCTATTATGAAAGCAGTATGAGGACCCTTTTTCAATTGAAAATATAAAAGCTCTTGAAGCTGTTTAAAATCAAGCCACAAAACTTATCCCAAGTCTGCGAACCATAAAAGCCAAGGAACGCTGCTCAGCTATTGGTACCCAGTTACTTGAAAAATGACGGCGCCGAAGTGATCTTATACAATACTTTAAGATTTACCACGGCATAGCAAAGTTAAATGGATCGAATTACCATCTCCAGCTCCTGTACTTGCGCAACCTGGACCAGCCGGTGGTCTTCGAAGTATTCCACATCGCATTCAGGCACTAAGAATTATTAAATGTGTAGCTCGCAAAACTTTTTTATGTAACAGTGTGGCAGTTAATTGGAATGCGCTACCACCAGATATCATTACCTTTGATAGAAATGTATCAGATATTGTCAACATTAACACTTTCAAAAAAGCTTGACAGATTTTTTGGCTCACTTTCAAAAAAAACTGTATGATTGGTATTTCTGTTTCTCGCTTGGGAATGTTATTAACTCAATGTGCCGATAATTTATATCTTTTTGTTTGGTAATCTTCTATACTGGATCTACCAAAGCAAAGATTGCTCTCTCGGCTTCACGGATTTTTCCGTTGTAGATTAAATTTAATAATAGTAATAATTTAAATAAACCATTTGTTTTTAAATCCAGCAAAAATACTTCAGCTCAAAATAAAATCCTGGAGAGATATAATAAGTTTCTTTTCGTTTCTTGCCAAAGAAACGTTATTTATAAACGCACCAAAACTATAGCTAGAGGTAAAGCAAAAGACAAAAACAAGTAGTAGAGATTGTATAAAACATTGATACTTACACCTAGTAATAAGGTATTTAAAAAGCGATTACTTTACGTAATTGTGATTTTTATTGTGACTACTTCTTGATAATTAAAGCAGTTGTTAAAAACTTATTAAGTCAACTTTTAAGAGAGTAATCTACTTCGGTTACAGCTTTCAAAGTTTACAAACTACATTTGAAAGTTTTCTTTTTTAAACGCAAAGGCACCATTTTGACTTGCCGCTGGAATAATTATACTACTAAGATTGCACCACAATTTTCAACAATTTTGGGCTTTGATCTCCCTCCACGTAGTCTAATATAACTTCTTGTTATATCATAATATACCATACTTTACTTTTTTCATTTCTTCAACGAAAAAGTTTCTTATAATAAAAACTGTAGTAAAACAAAATATCTTTAAACAAAAAACCTAAATAAATAAGCAAATAAATAGGATACCTGTTTCAGGAACAAAAGATGTTTTGTGATGTCATATTTTGGTGGGCAAAATGAATCATTAAAGTAATCCCATCGTGGCAGGTTATTAATTTTATCCTGTAAACATTTTCTTTGAATAACAATATCTGGGTCAGATTCACAATTTATCAAAGAAAGAGTATTGGCTAAGGTCACTCGAGGTGTATATTTTTCGATATAACTTCCTATTGAAAATACCTCACTTACACAGCAATCTAAGTGAATAAACAAGTAATATATGTATATGTATATTTATATATATATATATATATGTATATATATATATATATATATATATGTATATATATATATATATATATATATATATATATATATATATATATATATATATATATTATATATATATATATATATGCATATATATATGTTTATATATATATATATGCATATATATATGTTTATATATATATATATATATATATATATATATATATATATATATATATATATATATATATATTGTTTATATTATAAATAGGTCCTAGCTCGCAAGGGTTTAACTAAAAAAAACTGGATTGAGGTCATTAGCAATTGACCTGGGAATTCCCTTGAGTATATAATATTTACTCGAATTCACAGGCTAATGGTTAATGACCTCAATCCAATATTCTTGTAATTAAATGCTTACAAGCTAGGCTCTACATATTCTGTAATAATATCATAGTTATATAAACATATGAATAAAATCTAATTTACAAAAGCCAGTTACAAATGTCATTTTGTGTTCATAACTGAGTTTTTCATTTAATTTTTTCTGTCTCAATGCTTAAATTTTTATCTGCCATACCTGATCAAATTTTAACATATATTGTCAAGTTTGCTTTTAAGGCTTAAAAGAAACTAACTTAAAAAGTAAGTATGTTACCACAAAACTTTAATGATTCCACAATAATATTGTTTCCGAACTTTAGGTCAGCAATTTCTTTACAACTTTCTAGCCGTTTATTACTTTGGACTTGATATGTAATGTTTACCAAAACGCCAATATTATTGTTTCTATAAAATATAACCATCAAATTATTTTATTTATTTAAACTTTTATATAATGAAGACAATAAGTAATTAAAGTAGTATAAAATGCTTGCAAAAACATGAAAACCAAATTTAAAAAAAATATTTTTTTGCAGATTTTATACTCTTGTAAGATTATTCATTTTTTAAAAGTGCATTGTTAACTCAATTAACACATCGTTGACTCGAGGGATTTGAAATATATTTAGGATATTTATGGGTTTTAAATTATTGTTTAGCTTGGAAAAATCAGTATTTTTAGGTAAAAAATAATAATTTATAATCGTGAAATAAAAAATAGCATACATTAAATTGTCAATAAGCAACTAGATAGTAAATCCCATTTAGTATCCAGCAGATACCGACGCTTATATGATGTTTACATAACATCTTAAAGACTTCACAAGTCTGTAGAACATACTTAAGGCGTCCAACAATTTTTGCTTCTACAAAATTGATTCTGCTGGATATGTGAAATTGTTTGTACTTTTACTAACATAACTTTAGTTAGAAAATCAACAGTTATCTATTTTCTACATAATTATATTACACTTTGATTTATTAATTTTTGATATTATAGTACAATCAACTAGATTAAAACGGGGCCTTAGAGATGGCTTAAACTCAGAGACGGCTTTTTAATTTTCAGTTGTTGCGTCAAATCAAGTGATATTTTAGTTAAAAAAAAATTTAAACTTAGTTTAAATTTTTTGTGGATTTCTATGATAAGACTATTAGATCTTTTTGGAGCACCTTAAAAAACCTAAAAATAATGAAGTTAAAACAAAAAAAATAGTTTTAAAAACAATTAAATAAATTCTTAAAAATAAAGTTTAAGCACCATACCATTCTATACCATATTATAACATCATACCATTCTATTCCAATGTCTTAGAAGTAGAATTAATTTAATGAAAAATTTATATTTGTGAAACGTTTAAATTAAGTTAAATATTGAAAAGGTTTTCAATTTTAAAAGTATTCACAAAAATAAAATTATTTTTAACTAAACAACAATATGTAAAATGTTTTTTCAATATGACAGCGAGTTTTAATATAAAAATCTGGTTTTACTTAAAGAAATTTCTTGATCAATGATATAATTGCAAAACGATTTAATTAGGTTGCGACTAAAATATTTTTTTTTATAGTAATTTTATTTTTGCTAATATAATTATACTATATTATTATTTAATAATATAATTATTTATTTAATGATAGTAGTATTATTAATAATAATAATAATAATAATAACAATAACAAAAAAATAGCAACAATGATAATAATAATAGTAATAACGTTATTCGTTATAAGTTAATAATTTATTATTTTATAATATTATATTATAATATAATAACTTATTAACTTATAACAATTAACGTTAACTTATATTGTTATAATATTTAATTTAGACTGAACTCACAATAAATTTTATTTATAATATAGGTATGTTCAGTTCAGATGCAATAAAGCAAGTCCAAAGCAAGGGAAAACTTTGAAATCCATATTAGGAAGTACTTTTGGGAAAACTACTCTGTTGACAACCATCTTCTATCTGAAATGTTTTTTCTATGTTCAGAAAAAATCTTTTGAGTGTAAAGAGAGTATATACAATGAACTTTTATTCATGTTGAATATAAAATGAAACATCATTAAATGACTAAAAATTGTTTAGTATGTTTTAAGAACTATTGCTGTTATATGCAATAATGTTGATGATTAGTTGTTACAGTTCTGCAACATAGATCTTTTACAACATAGATCTATCAGAGAATGTAGATTTAAGGTTGGAGTAAATGAAGAGCAGAGTTATCTAAAAATTACATCATCAGTTACATTGAAGCCAGAGATAGATCTGCATTTAAGTAAAAAGAAAAGAGAAAAATATTTTGATAAGTATGAATGTGGATTTTCAAATAATTAGTTTGAAAAAATTGTTTGAGAACACTGATTAGGTGTTTTTATTTGTAAATAGTTATCGGTCTACAATACCTCTGATCAGATTATTTTATAAAGGTAGAATGAAATGCATATTTATCTGGACGAACACAATAATTTTAAAGCTAACTGTATGAAAGATTCGAGAAACTTTAACAATTTGTGTTTGAAACATTGAACCAAAACTCCTATGTTACATTAAAATATTTATATAAAGTTTCAGAGATCTTGGTTCAAACATTACTCTTAAAGCTCATATAGTGGAGCAGCGTTGAGAAGAGTTTGTTGTTATAGAAAGAGAAAAAATTGTATTTTTTGAAAATCAATGTTTAAGGTATTAACTGTACTTATTAGAATATTATCTAACTATCTATCAATCTATCTATCTATCAATCTATCTATCGATCTATCTATCTATCTATCTATCTATCTATCTATCTATCTATCTATATATATATATATATATATATATATATATATATATATATATATATATATATATATATATATATATATATATATATATATATATATATATATATATATATATATATATATATATATATATATATAATTTCAATTAAAAAGGTCGCGTATAACTATTTTTTAAATATACTTTGATATATTAACGATATTTCGCTGACCTATGGTTCACAAATTATTAAAGAATTAAATCTCCAATCACAAATTAGATTTAATGATTATGAGTTAATTAATAATATAACGAACAAGTCTAAAAATTACAATTAAAAAAAAACTGAAATGAAGGGAAAATAGAACAAATTGCAAAATAATATCAATTATAAAATCAATTTTGAAAAAAATCTTCCTAATCAAATTTTGAAACCAACTAAGTAGATAGGATATGCCGGTTCTAGCTCATTTTCATTTTCAACCATATTTTCAACCATATATTAATATTAATATAGGGTTCAATGTTATCCCTATTGTGTATAAATTATTTAGATAAGAAATAATTTTTTATTTTAAAAAATTGAATTTTTTAAAATAAACGTTAATTTTTATTTCATGTCGAAAAATGTCACGTGATTTTCTTGCATGACGTCACATGACTTTTTCTAATAATAAATATTATTTTCTGTTTTTAACTTTTCTTCTTCTAATCTTTCCTTTTCTAACTTTTCAGCTTGTAATTTAAATTGTTTTTGCAAATAACGAGCTAAACTTAATCTTCTTTTATAACTTGCTAATTTAATATCTACATCTTTACTTGCACAATCCATTTCTTATAATTTATGTAAAGAAATTTATTTTCAATTTTTTTTCTTGTGCGCTAATTGATATTTCAGATCTGTGCGCATGCGCTGGGATTTAGATATAATTTATTATATCTATTAAATACTTTATTATTTCTATTAAATAATCTGCTTTTAACTTTAATATTTCTACATTTTCATCATCACATATTTTTAACAACATATCTCTTGTTGATATCATTTCACTATCTAATATTAATAATTCTGGTTTTATTAATTCTAATAATTCTTTTTTATCAACATGATTATATATATTTTTTATTATTATCTTTATGTATTCTAATTCTGATTCTAGTTCAGATTTTAATTTTAAATTTTTACTCATTACTTCTATTCTTTTTTTTAAGTTTAAATATGCTGGATTAATTTCTTTTTGCATTTCGTTTTCCATTCTTTTTTATATACACAAGAAAATTATTTAACTCATTTTTCTTGTTTTAATGTGCATGCGCTTAATTTTTTAATGAAATCTGGATCTCGAAGAGATCTAAGCATAGTAGTAGCATTGTCTTAACAATAAAGTATAAGTTCCAGATTGTCCAACTTGTGCATCACCAGAGTTGAGTGTCACTACCATTCTTCTACCACTACCAACGCTAGGCATACTTCCAGATGAATTAAAGTTTTTATAAAATGAAATTGTAGTTGTTGGACCAATTGTACTATTCGATTGATAAAGTAATCCTGATGCTTCATTATTAAATGAGTTTACATTAGATCCATTCCATGAAGAGAGATAAAAATCTTCTAAACCTGATGAAGCGTAAATGCATCGACTGTTAACATCATATCCAGAAAATGTAGTATATCCATTATTATTATAAGGTGTCCAAGGTTGAATAACAGAGTTAGTATTAGTAGGAGCACCATATCCATCATAGATGCGAACTCTAGATTCCCACCAGTCTCCAGATCCTCCAATTACATGCATTCTTATGTATTTCAAATACACTCCGTTTCCATTATCCATAACATTCATTAGCATATATTCACTACTATAAGTTGTATTTACATATCTAAATGTTGATGAGTACAACTTAATGGATGAGATGGATCGAGGTATTAACGGATTAATACTAGTTAATGTTTGTTGTAACGATGAAGTTCTTGTGATAAAAGGTTGTAACCAAAAGGTCACTGAATTTCCTGTTTTATTGTATAATTGTATATTCAAACTTGATGTAAAAGGAAGATCAAATGTAAAATATCCTCCTAATGCACTTGTACTAAATACATTACACCCTTGTAAAGGATTTGCATAATAGGATCCACCAAGTGGTGCAATTAATAAATCACAAGCTAAAGCTGTATTATTAATACCTACCCCATCTGTTACAATAGAATCATTACCTATGCAAAGTACATTGTCAGCATATATTTTTAAAAACAAGTTACCTGGTACAGTATTAGGTGCAATAGTAGATCCTGTAAATGCAATCCACAGTTTTTTTAGAATTCCTGAACTACCACTATAGCTAAAAATGGTATATGATCCTGGAGTTGCATAGAATGCTTGAGATTTTTGTCCAAAGCATATTAAACTTGTATTGGGAATGATATCTAAACTTTGATTTTGCATATCATCAATGTAGCTCTTTGTAACTGCATCTTGTGCATCAGTAGGATTAGCTACATTGATGAGTTTATTTGTATTTAAATTTATATTAGCAGTTGCAGGATTATAACCATCAGTTCTTAGATACATACTGCTAGAAATCTGATTATTATCTACATAATTCTTTGTAGCTGCATCTTGTGCATTAGTAGGAT